CTATTTGACCCTTAGGATAACTGACTTTCCTGCAGTTTCCCTTTGGAAACACATTGGTCCTGGATTTGATTTATTCTTTAAAAAATCAGTAACGTGCTGACATACTGTAGTTTCTCTCAACTAAATATTTTCCATCAACTTATGTGTGATGAATAAAACTATTAGGAAAACATCATGTGGACTGCATAAAACTCATTGCCTTCCAAGAACATGATGCTTTAATTTAAAAAAGGCAAATGCTTATTTTATTATTTAAAAATAAAAGATGGAAAAAAGTAGGACTAGTATATTTTGTACATTTGGTTATTAGTTACAACACTTTTCACGCAATCAGAAGCACAGGTTCTTATAGCCAATTGGCAGGAGACGAAACAAATGTAGGATCAACGTCTGGAATGGATATTGTACTCAGCTTCAAATAGTGAGTCTTTTCCCCTTATTGAAGATATTTTAGCACTATATTTCATTGTTTAATATACATTCATCACATACAATAAAATATAATTCCATGGAAAAGAGTCTGGATTTTCCAAAACCAACTTTTTCATTTATTTTTTGACAAATGAATAGCTTGGAGAAATTTATTCCTGTGCAGAGAGTCTGCACAATACCAATATCCCATCATTAACTCCTAAAACAGATCCACCTTTTCCATACAGTTACTTACCCACAAGTCAAAGACTGATGGACAGGTTCTGTACTTTGTGATCCCATCCAGTTTAGTGGCACTATGCTGCTGCATTGCCCATCAGGAGTCTTAGTTAGGACTCTCATTCCCCCCTACTCGCAGAGAACATACAGAGTTTGCAAGCTGCCATCTACCTTTGGGCTTTACAGCCTACTCCTCCTAAAACACCTGGCCAACTTCCCAAGGAAGTATGAAGAGGATATGATGCCATAGCTTTGTATTCCCTGGAAGTGCCCATATGCAAGGACTACAGAAGTCCTCAGCTCTTATGTGGGGAGAAGTGGTTACTTCCTGTTCTCTCCACATAGCCATGTAAGGGCCAGGGACAATCTGAGAGAACAGGTAAGTCTAACTGTTCTTTGAAAGTTAAATAAAAAAGATTTGAGGTCTGAGACCATCCAGACATACAGGCAATATAGGGATTTTACGTTGGCAGTCGGTGGTTGGGGCTTAGTCCTTATTTAAAGCATCTCATTAACTTGAGTGTGAGTTTTTGCTTGAAAGAAGACTGAAGAACCAAGTCTTGCTGTTAGAATTTTCTTTATACTTTAGACAGCAGAGAATTTAGACACAAAAATTTGACTCTCTGGTCCATGCTGCA